AGGCTGGGAACTGAACTTGTGTGTTGTAGTTCCTAGTCCAATGTCCTTGTCATCATACCACACCGTGCCAACAATCCTCAAAGACACCACATGCCTCCTTATTTTCCAGGGCAAATGTGGATTAGAAAGCAATGGTAGTGGTAGGATACCTCATCTTTCTTTATTTGAAAAAAACTATTACACAGGTGATCCATGCTCATTACGAAAAAATTACAAAATAAAAATAATCTTTTAAAAAAGAAGAAAAGGGGGGCACCTGGGTGGCTCAGTTGGTTAAGCATCTGCCTTCGGCTCAGGTCATGATTCTGAGGTTCTGGGATTGAGCCCCTTGCTGGGCTCCCTCCTCAGCAGTGAGACTCCTTCTCCCTCTCCCTCTGCCCTGCCCACCCCGCCCCGCTTGTGTGCGCGTGCGTGCTCTCTCTCTCTCTCTCTCTCAAATAAATAAAATCTTTTAAAAGAAGAAGAAAAGACATTCCCCCATAATTCTACCCACCCCAATCTACCACTGTTAATATCTTAGTGTATTCCCCTAAGAACAAAGGAAATGGTTTTAGAGTACATTGCATTAACAGCATCTCCAGGGCAAGTTGTAAAGGAAATCCCATCCTCAAGCTCCACCCAAGGGGAGGAAGGATGTGAAATGTGAAAGTCATGAGTGCAGCAGGCTGTGTGTGTGCACGTGTGTGCACCCATGTGTATGTGCCTGGTACTTCTCTACCCAGCCCAAGAGAGGGCTTGGCATGGCAGCAGTTAGCCAAGTTGGCAGGGAATTTACTACAACGTCGCAGACAGTATTTCTTCAAATAAGAGGCAGAGCGGCTGTGACTCCAGGTGACAAAAGTGGCCTGCCCTCTAGTTTGGTTCAAGTTCCTGTAGGCAGGGGAAGGTTAATTACGTTTAATTCAATCCACTTGGCTTTCTGCTGAGGGATGGGGTCCTTGTGTGGTCCCAGGGCACTGCAAGATTCCCCTTCATCCTTTTTCTTGCACATGAAATGCCTTATTTGTGACTGTCTTCCTAGTCCTTCCCCCCAAACAGAAGGGCAGCCCCAGAGAGGGGGTCTCATATGCCTTGCTCACCTGTCTCTATCTTCCAGCACCTGTCTCACTGTCTGGCAGGTTGTACTACTCACAACATGCTTGAATTGACTGCAGAATTTGGGGGTATGCACAAGATAGTTGCTAAGGGCATCCATACTTGGTATGTTGAAGGAACTAGACCCCACTCAAGGGGATAGTCAAAGTCCCAGCACCTTCTCTATGTCATCTGTTTATAACTCAGGACCCCTAAAGGAGGTTGTCAGCACCTGGAAACAGAAAGGCCAGGTCCACATCTTTTCTTCCATGAACTGCAAGAAGCGTTCCAATGTATTTGCGCACTCGTTTTGTCCAAACTAGAAAGATTGAAGGAAATTGACTCTATTTCATTGACTCATACTTCATCACCTCTGCTTCTCAAGATTTCTCCCTTCAAGTACAGTGTCAGGGGGCAGTGAGGGGCGGGGTTGTGAGCACCAGGCTTGAAGTCTCATGAACATGGAATCAAATGCCAGGTCATCTGCATTTCAGCTGTGTGAGCTGTGGGAGTTTTGGTGACCTCTCTGAACTTCAGCGTCTTCATCTGTGAAATGGGAACATGAAATGTGCAGTGTTGCATTGCTTAGATGAGATAAAAGTGAAAGTTGCGAGTGCGGTGCTTTGGCACACTGTCTGTGTCTTAAGAATATATATGTTTCCCACCACTTCACACCAGTCAGAATGGCTAAAATTAACAAGTCAGGAAACGACATGTTGGCGAGGATGCGGAGAAAGGAGAACCCTCCTACACTGTTGGTGGGAATGCAAGCTGGTGCAGCCACTCTGGGAAACAGCATGGAGGTTCCTCAAAAAGTTGAAAATAGAGCTACCATACGATCCAGCAATTGCACTATTGGGTATTTACCCCAAAGATACAAATGTAGGGATCAGAAGGGGTACGTGCACCCCGATGTTTATAGCAACAATGTCCACAATAGCCAAACTGTGGAAAGAGCCAAGATGTCCATCGACAGATGAATGGATAAAGAAGATGTGGTATACATATACAATGGAATATTATGCAGCCATCAAAAGGAATGAGATCTTGCCATTTGCAACGACGTGGATGGAACTGGAGGGTGTTATGCTGAGCGAAATAAGTCAATCAGAGAAAGACATGTATCATATGACCTCACTGATATGAGGAATTCTTAATCTCAGGAAACAAACTAAGAGTTGCTGGAGTGGGGGGTGGGGTGGGAGGGATGGGGTGACTGGGTGATAGACACTGGGGAGGGTATGTGCTACGGTGAGTGCTGTGAATTGTGCAAGACTGTTGAATCACAGATCTGTACCTCTGAAACCAATAATGCAATATATGTTAAGAAAAAAAAAAAAGAAGATAGCAGGAGGGGAAGAATGAAGGGGGGGAAATCGGAGGGGGAGACGAACCATGAGAGACGATGGACTCTGAGAAACAAACTGACGGTTCTAGAGGGGAGGGGGGTGGGGGGATGGGTCAGCCTGGTGATGGGTATTAAAGAGGGCACGTTCTGCATGGAGCACTGGGTGTTATGCACAACCAATGAATCATGGAACACTACATCAAAAACTAATGATGTAATGTATGGTGATTAACATAATAAAATTTTTAAAAAAAGAATATATATGTTTCCCTCTGAGAAAATCTCCTTTCACCTTGAAAGTCTAAAAGCAGTGCCAGTTCTGCAGCCCCCAAGGTATTTGCCTGAGGAGTGCACTGATAAATTCTGCCCAGGGACGGCTGCCCACTGAATAGTGTCTCTATTCACTGATACAGAACCAACTCCCTGTGAGATTAGGAGGTGCTAGAGTACAACCACAGTCCACGAGGACATCCCGGAGTCCCAGGAGCACACTCCCAGCACCAGGCAGGACCCGTCAAGGCTGGACAGGATACCTTCGTCCTAATGGAGAGTGTGAGCAGGCTCTCCCTAGAGGGGTCTTTCTTCTTCTGCTTGGGATGGGCCAGAGAGGTCCCTTCTTGGCTAAGAGTCCAGGTTTGGGGACTGAAGTAGAAATCCTAGGAACACCCAGGTTCCAGATGATAATCCAAGGACCGGGACATTAGGGAGTGGATTAAGCGTGTCCCCTGTGGCCCCTCTGCCAATCTCCAGTTGGACTCCTTTCCGCCCTTTTGGCGTCTTTCTTGTCAGAGAGGCCTTTAATGCTTTAGGCTCTCTCACTATGGCAACTTCTTTCCCCATCAAAACTTATTCACACCTGGACCAACTCTCGGAATCTAATTGTTTTGAAAGTCAGACTCATATGAAAGGGTTACGGGGGATCACCGTTCGCAATACGTGACAACTTAAATTAGCTAGGTGCTTCTTGAAGATACCACCTGCATTTTCCGGGCTGTAGGACTAGAAATCGTGCCCATTCTTCCTCCAGGATCTTCTGACTTTCCATGGCGTCTGGGAGAGCGGCCATAAGGGTTAAGTATTTATTATCTCTGATCTACAGCGATTGCCTGACTCCATTTTATGTACGAGAAATCTAAGATTTTGGAGGCGAAATGACTTCTCTGAAGTCTCATGTAACTTCGTCACAGAACCTGGGGGAGTGGGGGTGGGGGACAAATCTCCTGACCTCTTACCATCTGCCTGTCCCTAATTCTAGTATCTTTCCACGCAAAATGTGATGTGTAGACCAGCAGCATTGGTGTCTCCTGGGAGCTTGTTAAAAATGCAGAATCTCAAATCCAACCCGAGACCTATTGAAATGGAATCTGCATTTTAACAAGATCCCCAGTTGATTCATATGCCATTTAGAATCTGAAAAGCACTGGTTTAGAACTCACATTTTCCCCCCTGTTTCCTTTCTCATCATTACTTCAACCCCAAGGGTCCGTGAACCTCTGAGGCTGAATTTAGCCCAATCTCAACATATCATGTTCAAGGAGTTCTGGTGTCATTACATACGGCACAATTTTCCGGTGGAAAAGATTTCTTTTTTTTTTTTTTTTAAAGATTTTATTTATTTATTTGACAGAGAGAAATAGCGAGAGCAGGAACACAAGCAGGGGGAGTGGGAGAGGGAGCAGCAGGCTTCCCACTGAGCAGGGAGCCTGATGCGGGGCTCGATCCCAGGACCCCGGGATCATGACCTGAGCTGAAGGCAGACGCTTAACGACTGAGCCACCCAGACACCCCCAGTGGAAAAGATTTCTGCCTGGTTTTCTGACATTTTTTTTCCCCTTTACCTTATTTAAAATTCTAAAAAGAAAAGCCTCATTAATGGAGTTCTTTTTAGAATGGGCAGGAGAATCCACCACCTTGAACTTCTAGCAGGAAAGGTATGATAGACACTTAATAAATAATCATAACTGGGTGGTGACGTGTGTGAAAGCACTTAGCAAATTACAAAGTGATGCACAAATGTTCCTGATTATAATTCCCAGGCTGTAGGATCACAGAACGAGATCCTTCATGAGCCCATTTAGGGTGAAAATGTTTCTCAGGAATGTAATGTGAAACTTAAAGTTTTTAAATTATTCTCATTTTCTAGACATCTAAGGGGCAAAAATAATGGTTGTGAACCCTGGCTATACATCAGAATAACTTGGGGTAGCTTCATTTAGGAGCTTTATTTTTAAAATATGTAAGCCTGGGTTTGGCTCTTGACTCTATTTCTTGAGGTCCTGAGGGTCCGGCCTGGGCCATGGTTTATTTTTGAGCACTCCCAGGTGATTCTAATACACAGTGAGATTGGAGAGCCACTGAACTGAAAAAGTTATTTCCAGGTTTACAGTAAATGAACGTGAGTGAGCATTTTCTCCATATTTATGATATGGCTCAAGTCTAAATTTTCTAATTTCTAAATCTTAATGATGATCAAACCACCAGGAGATAACCCCCCCATTGAAATACTAATGGCTGCTGATTCCAAACAGTATTAACTTGGTAATGACAATTGAGTTCCTTCATTCTCTTACCACTTAACATGGGTCGACTGACCTTCATGGTGCTGAGGACTGACCTAAATCCCGACAGCCCATTTGTGTACAGGCTTGTACCCCGGTGTCAACACCGAATTCTCAAATTCCATATGGTTTTTAGTCCAGTGACAAGACATTTTGACAACACAGGTTTGAAATCTAAGAGACCTAAGTTCTAGGCGATGTTCTTTCCTGTAGTTGTCCGATGTTGGGTCAGTTTCCTGCTGTGAAAAACGAGGGCGTTGGACCAGTGGTTACTGAATCTGGCTGACCATAAGATTCACCTGGAGGGTTTTGCAAGACCACTGATTTCAAGGCCCCAGAGCTACCCGTTGAAACTTTTGGAGTGAATGTGTATGTGTGTGGGGGGAAGAGTGGGAGGCAGTGTTAGAAAGAAGAATTTTTTTTTTTTAAAGATTTATTTATTTGAGAGAGAGAGACAGAGAGAGTGGGGGGAGGGACAGAGGGACAGAATCTTCAAGCCGACTTTGTGCTGAGCGAGGAGCCTGATGCAGGCACAGAGCCTGAAGCGGGGCTCGATCTCAGGACCCTGAGATCATGACCTGAGCCGAAATCACAAGTTGGGTGCTGAACCCACCGAGCCACTCAAGTGCCACTGGAAAGCAGAATTTTTTTTTTAAGAATCCTAAAATTGACCGGAAAATTAGCTGTGTTTGCGAGCCATTGGACAAGATAAGCTCCTAAGTCCTTCTCTACTCTAAGAATCTACGACATTAGACTAGTTGGTTAAATTCCTATATCAGAAGAAGCTGGTGTGGTTGCAGGGCCTGGCTGAGGGCTGGGTCTACAGAAGGATAAAACAGAAAACAGAACGGGCACAGAAGAAGTATCATCTTTGACCACTACCTGCATGTATCTCAGGATTTCGCTGTTCATATGGCTTCTGCTCAGGTCTTTTTGTCATATTGTTAAATGTCTAATGGCCATCTTCTTACATTACCTTTGAAAACGGTTGAAAAGGTGCTTCTTGGGAATATTGTTCTTAGAATAATTTTCCTCACTTTTCCTGCCACCCACCTCACCTTGCTACTGCTCCAAGTCTGAGTGTCACTGTGCAGAAGAATCTTTCTGGGATGCTTGTTTAAAATGCAGGTTCCTGGGCACCTGGCTGGCTCAGTGGGTAGAGCATGTGACTCCTGATCTTGGGGTCGTGAGTTCAAGTCCCACGCTGGGCCTAGAGCTTACTTAAAAAAATACAGTTTCCTGGGCCTTTCCCCTGATTCTAATTCAGGACATTTAGTTTGGGCCAAGAAACCTGCACTTTTCATCTGAACTGCTTTCAATCTTCCTGCAAAACTTAGTATGCAGCCTTTCTCAGGCTTCCTTTATGATAAGAATCTCCTGAGTCCATCAACAAATGAATGGATAAAATGTGATGTAGCTATAAAATGCAATAATCTTCAGCCATAAAAAGAAGTGAAGTATGGAGAACATGCTACAACATGGATGGGCCTTGAAAACATTATACTAAGTGAAAGAAGTCAGATACAAAAGGCCACATCATGTACAATTCCATTAATACAAAACGTCCAGAATAGGCAAACCCGTAGAGATAGGCAGTTGATCAGTGGTTGCCAGGGGTTTGGAGGGAGAAAGGAATGCAGAGTGAGTGCTAATGGATAGGGGTTTCTTTAAGGGTGATGAAATGTTCTCAGAAAGTGGTGATAGTTGCACAACTTTGTGGATATGTTAAGATCATTGAATTGTATACTTTAAAAGGGTGAATTTTATGGCATGTGAATTATATCTTTAGGAAGAGAAAGAGGGGCTCAGTCGATAGAGCACGTGACTCTTGGTCTCAGGGTTGTGAGTTCACGGCCCATGCTGAGTGTAGAGATTACTTAAAAAACAAAATCTTTAAAAAATACAAAACCCAACCAACCAAACAAAAACAACCTGGGCAGTTGTTTAAAAAAGCAGATTCCCAAGCCCTACCCAAGATCCACTGAGTTAGCACCTCTAGGGAAGAACCTAAGAATCTGATTTTAATAAATGCCCCAAGTGATCCTTATCCTAAGGGAAGTTCAGGAGAAGCTCCTTGGAACACTGAAGGCCAGAGTCGTCCTTCTGCATGGACTCTTGATTCTCCATCTGTGGTTGGCAGCCTCTAAGATGGTCCCTATGATCCCTACCTCCTAGTATTCTGCTCCCCTTGAGTGTGGACTGGGCTTGTTGACTCACTTCTAATGAATAGAGTACAACAGAAGTGATGGATATTACTTTCAATATTAGGTTTTTAAAAGATTGTGGCTTCCATCCAAAGAATATATACAAATGGCCAATAGCATATGAAGAGACACTGGATGTCACTCATCAGTAGAGAAATGCAAATCAAAACCACCGTGAGATATCACCTCACACCCATCAGGACGGCCACTATAAGACAAAAGAAAACAAAGCAATAGAAAATAACGTGTTGGTGACGATGTGGAAAAATCAGAACACATCTGCACTGTCAGTGGGAATGTAAAATGGTGCAGCTGCTATGAAAAACAGTATGGAGGGTCCTCATGTATTAAAAATAGAAATACCATCTGATCCACAATCCTACTTTTGAGTATATACCCAAAAGAATTGGAAGCAGGATCTTAAAGAGATATTTGCATATCCATGTTCACTGTAGCTCTATTCACAATAGCTAAGGGGTAGAAGCTACTCAAATGCCCACTGACAGATGAATTAATAAAGAAAATGTGGTATAATGCATATGATGGGATATTATTTGGCCCTAGAAAGGAAGGAAATCCTATTACATATAATAACATGGATGAACTGGAAGACATTATACTTAGTGAAATAACCCAGTCACCAAAAGACAAATACTGTATGGTTCCACTTATGTGAGGTACATAGAGTAGTCAAATTCATAGAGACAGAAAGTGGAATGGTGGTTCTCAGGGGTGGAGGGGAATGGGAAGTTATTCAATGAGTGTAGAGTGCCGGTTTTGTAGGATGGAATAGTTTTGGAGATCTGATGCACAATGTGAATATATTTAACACTATAGAACTGCACACTTAAAAATGGTTAAGATGGGTAAAAAAAAAATTGTGGGGGTGCCTGGGTGACTCAGTCAGTTAAGCATCTGACTCTTGATTTTGGCTCAGGTCATGATCTCAGGGTCGTGAGATTGAGCCCCATGTCGGGCTCTGCCCTGGGCATGGAACCTGCTTGAGATTCTCTGTCTCTCTCTCTGTCTGGCCCTCCCCTCCCCATCCCCCACTGCAGGTGTGCTCTTTCTCTCTCTCTCTCTCTCAAAAAAAAAAAAATTGTGTCTTCCATTGCAGGCTCTTGTTCTCTCTTGATACACCTCCTCTCTGTCGCTCTCCAGCCCATGCTGTCTTTCAGATCCCCAGCTGTCATGTTGGGAGGACACTCAGGCAGCCTATGGAGAGACCCATGAGGTGAGGAGCAGAGACCTTCCAGCAATACCACGGTGAACTTGGATGTGAATCTTCTGAGGCCTGCCAACATGTGAATAAACTTGGAAGTGTAACTTTAACCCCCCAGTTGAACCTTCAGATAAACTGTAGCCCTCACAAACAGTTTGACTGAAGGCTCACAAGAGACTTTGGGGTAGGGGCACTCAGCTGAGCTGCATCTGAATTCTGACACACTGAAGTTGTGACATAATGACAATTCATTGTTTTAAACTGCTAACTTTTGGGGTAATTCGCTATGCAACAATAGATAACTAATACACCATCAAATGTGTTTTGCTCAGTTAGTCAAATTACAATGCAGACCCTACCAGGGCACTGGCTGAAATCCTATTTTTCAGGATATAAAATTGTATGTATATTTTGGTAAGCCAAATAATGGGTCCTCCAAAATGTCCACATCCTAATCCCTGGAATGTGTGAATATAGTATGTCCCATGGCAAAAGGGACTGCAGATGTAATTAACATTACAAACTTTAGGGGCACGTAGGTGACTCAGTCGGTTCAGCATCTGACTTTGGCTCAGGTCATGATCTCTGGATCCTGGAATCGAGCCCCACATCGGGTTCCCCACTCAGCAAGAAGTCTACTTCTTCCTCTCCTTCTTCCTCTGCCCCTACCCCTCCCTCTACTTATGCTCTCTCTCTCTCTTAAAAAAAAAAAAATTACAAACTTTAAAATAGATTATCCTGGATGATCCAAATGGGCCCAATCTAATCGCACAAACGCTTGAAAGCAGAGAACTTTCTCTGGCCAGAGGTAGGAGAGATTTGGCAGAAGTAGAAGTTGGAGAGATTCCAAGTGTGGGAGGGACCTCAGCACTGATGGAGGGCAGTGGGCAATGTGTAAACATGAGAATGAATGTGAGCAGCCTGTAGGAGCAAAGACCAGCACCCAGCTGACGGCCAGCAAGGAAACGGGGACCTCAACCCTACAGCTGTAAGCAACTGAATTCAACCAAAACTTGAATGAGCTTGGAAGTGATTCATCCCGAAGTCTCCAAAAAGCAATGCAGTCCTGCTGACACCTTGATTTTGGCTAGAGCAGAGAAACCAATCCAGCCAACTGGGATTTCGGATCTACAGAGGTGGGATAATAAATCTGTATCACTTTCAGTTACCAAGTTTGGGGTAATTTGTTATGGCAGCAATAGAAAACGCACATTATTTATGCGTGTATAATATTTATTGGTTTTCAGTCCCTTCCCACCAGGTATCATAGCTATGCAGATGGTGCACAGTGTTATTTATCATTTTCTACTTACCCTGCTGAAGCAGTCATTCACTATCTTAGTGCCTCTCTGTATCGCAGGCTTGAGTGTTCCATGCATTGTTTTTCAAGGCTCTCTGGGAAAGACACTCCTTTTTCGGGAGCCTGGCATCTGGCTGGGGCGAGACTGTGCACGCGCTGATTGTTTCTGAGGCCACTGATCAATACTTACCATTAGGACAACAACTCCATGCATCACTAAACTTTGACCTCAGTGCCCCAGAGCAGTCCCAAGATGCCAATTGATGTACAGGCAAATACATATTCTTCAAACGCAATACCCCTTTCATAGACTTCCCTGAATTAAATTTTAGAGGCTTCAGTGATGACAAAGTAATGTTGCTAATGTACTGGCAAGCCCCGAGTATTCAGAAAGGATGCTTGGATAAAAGTAATTGGGTTTATGCTTCTTAGAAAGATC